TTGCTGTCTTTGAAAAATCAGTCATCCTAAGCTGGTAAAAAATCAGTTCAAAGAGAGATTTTTCTTACTTTATGATTTCTTAGAAGCTTTTGAAAGTGTCACCTCAAAAGAAGGATAATAAATACTTAAAATACGTTCCTAATCTCTTCTATGATGCAATAATAAAGGTCATAAATTCTGGCCTTCCACATATCACAACACAGAAGCTATGTTGAAAGAATATTAGGAGGTTGAGAAATCACATCCTGAGAAGTTAGGAAATACCAACCAGCATTATTTTGGCTTCTGTGCTCTTGATGAACATACACTTCTTAGTTACATGGTTTACCTTTTAAAAAAAAAACAACCACCAAACCAGAACAAGAGATTCACAAAATAAGCAATTACTTTGTATTTGCTTTCTTTATGGCCAGCTGGGCGATCCACCATACAGAGGGCAGTTGTTTTGACTGCTGGGCTGACCATGGATTCTCACCCTCTGTGCAAATGAAGTTACATGCTTTTGACCTTTAATCTGCAAATATATACTATTGTAAGGGGAAATATTAAAATTAAGCATATTGGATCCATTCCAGGATTTGGAATAGGATGTGTTCTTTTGTGCAAGATTATTCTGCTTGTTGTCCTTAATTTGATCCTCCCTCCTTTGACCTACTCCTGCAAGTCTGTCTTGTCCCATTTATGGATCTCTGCCCAAACTCAGTCTTCTTGTCCAGTCCATTTCAAGATCAGATCAAAATCATTACCTGAAAACCTCCATTCGGCCATCCCCTAACACTGGAGGTACCTGAACTCTGAAGGGCTGAGATTTGTGTATGTGAGGTAGTTGCCACAGGCTCCTCCTACAGTCAGAGGAGAAGAAAAAGGCACTTATAGGGTGCCATGGATCCGTTTGAGACTTCAGGAGATTAACTGCTGCCCAGACTTCTCTGGCACATTGTCTTAATATGCATTCATTCCAAATCTTATGCAAAGATGTTGTGTAGTAGCATACTAACTGCCCTTCCAATTGCCAACAGCATTTGTTTCAGATTTTCTTATCAGTTTTCTGAGCTGTATGTTTTAGATGTGCTCTGTTCCTTGGATTTTTTTCCCCATATTTATTTTATTTGCTTGTTCTGCTTATTTGATCTGGATCTTGGCTTCTTTATTATCTTAATTGGCATTTCTCCTTTTTTTTTTTCCCCAAGAGCAATGTTTCAGCATTTAAAGGTTTGACAGGTTAATCATGACGAAAAGGAATGTACTTAAATCTCATTATATTTTCCAACTTCAAAGAGTTTTGCTCATATTTATTAATGTATCTTCACAATATTTAAGTCAGAATTACCACTGCTGTTTCAAAGGTAGGTGAACTGAGGTGCAGACATTAAAGTTTAAACATCTTATATATTCAACAGGTACAAATAGTCAGCAGGAGGCCTAATCTGTAGGAAGCAGAAGTCTGGTACTAAGAGGTTTTTCAAAACTTGCCCAAGTTCCCCAGCCTCTTTGAATCTGTGCTCTAGTGAAGTGAACACCTTCATCATTTTTGAAATGCAATGGTATTTCTCAAAGGCTGCTGAAATACTCCAGACTTAAGTATCTAAACCAACACTAACCTAAATGAATCTCTGCCTAGTCTAAAGCAAACCAGTACTATGCAGTAATACCTTACTGCATGTAGGTGGATTTTCTCTAGATGTGATGTAAAATTCCTCCATGTACGCTAAAGTGCAAGAGAGAATATAATAGCACCCTAGCAATAACTGTTCTAAAACTTCACAGATTATGGGAAGGTGGGAAGTATTAAAGTTGTCTGTTGGTACTGTTCCCCCATAAAGGCTCCAGTTCACAGCACCACAGAAGACAGAGGTTCACCCCTTTATTACCATGTATTGGCATTTCCACTTGTGCTGACATACAGCAAAAGCCCGGCTGTGCAAACCCCTCTATTGATTTAATTCTGAAAATATACCACACTGCTAAATAAACAAACAAACAAAAATAATGTGGGCTTTGCAACTCTGGATTTTTTTTTTTAGCCAGTTTATTACCCTAAAATACTAAGTAATGCACATTAATACTGTACATCATAAAATTCCTAATAATGTAGGTATACTCTTCAGTTTATTCTGATAGTTTATACTCTTCAGTTTATTCTGATAGTTTATACTCTTCAGTTTATTCTGACTCTTCTAAATTATTATCAACGTAATCTTGAAAATAGTAGCTCTTCGTCCACAATAGGTTATAAAAAAAGAAAATAATATCTTCATCCGATATCACAGCTTTCATTTTTTTTCTATGGTATTAATTGTTCATTAGTTACTAAGTTCTGTTTACTTTCAATTCTAAGCAGAAACTCATTCTATTACTTTGCTTTTAAGAAAAACTTCTTCACAGAAGTCTGTAAATAGAATAGAGATCAATGATATACTGTTCTGAAAGATATTCCAGAAAAGTACTTCAGTATATCATACCTTTGGATGTTGAGGGGCTACTCCACAGAAGTATTTTCTTCAACAAGTCAAAATGGATTTTTTCCCAGTGTTATTTTAAAACCTGATATTCCAGACTGACATTAATTACCACTGGTACAAAATTTCGACAGTTTATCATGACATGAGGCTTGAGGAAAATTAATACGCTCCCTATTAGAAATGACTGATCTTTTCTGTGGATACTGAAACCAGCTTATAATGGAAACTTATATAAATTCATTGTAGTATTTGATATTATTTTAAAATGAAAACTAATATGTGGTAAAGGCACAAACACATTAGCACATCAGAATGAGTATTTTGTGTCTCTCCAAGCAGTATGTAACATATCAAGAATCTTCATATGCTAATTAAACCACATTTGTGGTTCAGAAAGGCAGTACACACACAGAATATAGTTTTGCTTAAGCAACAGTTAAGACTTGTATGACTTCAAAAGGAATTATAATTGTTTAAGACCATTTGGAGCACTCACCTTCAAATTCCCTGTATTTTATAAGTTCTCTAATTGCAAACCACTTCAACTTTAGTAGGTTCAAAAAGGTAACGAGTAAGTATGTTTATTTTTAAACTTCAGTTCATGTTGAAATTTTCAATGACTTTTAAATGAAGTATTCTGAAGCACTGGAACAATTATTTCAGATACAGAGCTTGCAAGTGGAACACATGACTGAAGGAAAGTATCGTATCATAACGTACCTTGGTTCTGAAATGACTTTGAGCCAGTCTGCTTGTTTTAACACCACAAATTTCATTTGCCAAGATGCAGTTAATGTATTCACAAAATTGTGTTTATGTTCAGAATCACTAATTCTAATACACATTTAGTTTCACGAAACCTGAGTTCTAAAAGAGTCTCCTGTTACCCACTTTTTCCAGAAAAGGGATATGACACAAAGCTGTGCCAAATGCAGGCTCACAGGATATGGCGGTGTCCTCACACAGCACATACAAATAGAAGTTGGGAAGATGGAGACAGCCCTGCATCACAGGATGAAAATGGAGAAGGAGGCAGCCCCAACGCCCAATAATATTTGAAGTGGTGCAGCCAGAAGTCCTTTTCTTCCCCACAGGGATCATCTCTGATAGAAGAGATAGTCAGGTGAAGGAAAGGAAAAAGTTTTTTTCCCCCCTGAATGTTGTTTCCCTTCTCTTCTCTCATCTACATATTCTACACCTCCCTTCTTTCTTCTGCACCTTGCCACCCCTCTCCTGCCCAAATCACTTCTCCCTTCAATTCTTCCTTTAAATCCCATGTTATCCTATTTCTGTCATACTTTCATTTTGCCTTCCATAGAATTACATTTAGATTGGAAAAGACCCTTAAGATCATTGAGTCCAACTGTTAACCCAGGACTGCCAAGTCCACCACTAAACCATGTCCCTAAGTGCTGTGTCTACACATCTTTTAAATACCTTCAGGGATGGTGACTCCATCACTGCCCTGGGCAGTCTGTTCCAGATCTTGACAACCCTGTCAGTGAATAAATTCTTTCCTTATATCCAATCTAAACCTCCCCTGCTGCAACCATCCTGTTGTTCATTACTTGGCAAAAGAGACTGACGCACACCTGGGCACTCTGCCGGCTCATGTTCAGCTGCTGTCAACCAATACCCCCAGGTCCTCTTCCTCCAGGCTGCTTTCCAGCTGCTCATCCCCAAACCTGGAGCGCTACATGGGGTTGTCTTGACCCAAGTGCAGGGTCTGGCACTTTGCCTTGTTGAACCTTGTATCATTGCCCTCAGCCCATTGATCCAGCCTGCCCACATGCTTTTGCAGTCTTTCCAACTTGGTATGTCTAAGGCTGACTGAAGGTGCCCTTGATCTCCTCGTTCATAGAATTGACAAAGATTAGTATTAAACAGAACTGGCCCCAATTCTAAGCCCTGGGGAACAACACTGGTGACCAGCCACAAGCTGGATGTAACTCCATTCATCAACAATCCCTGTGCCCATCCATCCGGATGGCTTTCTACCCAGTGAAAAGCACACCTGGCCAAACCTTGAGCAGCCAGTTTCTCCAGAATGATGCCGGATGGACTGAAGTCCAGGTAGACACATTCACAGCCTTTCCTTCATCCATGAAGTGGGTTACTGAGGGGGGTGATCACTGCCCTGGTCCTGCTGGCCACATTATTTCTGATCCAGGCCAGGATGCCACTGGCCATCTTGGCCACCTCCTCTCCGACCCAGTGCTTTCAAATCCCTTAGGTTCACTTTCCAGAATAATTCCTCTACTTTCCAGAGGCTCCTTTTTCTAACCTGCCCCCCGGACACCCCCATCCCAGCACCCCCAACCGCAGCACGACGACGGTCAGCTTTAGAGCCGGCTGGCAGCGCGGCTGCCCCCGCACCAGCGGCCGGCTGAGAGGGGAGGGGAGGGGAGGGGAGGGGAGGGGAGGGGAAGGGGAAGGGAAGGGAAGGGAAGCACAGCAAGTGCCCGGGAGGCACCGCGGTCCCCTCTCCCCGGGGCAGCGGCGCCCAAGGCCGGGCGCGGCACAGCCCCCTCCCCGGCGGCCCCGCGCCTGCGCCCTCCCGCGGGGGTGACGCGGCGGCCGCGGCGCGGAGGCGGGACCGGCACGGAGGCGCGGTGTGAGTTCCTTCCCCCGCGGTGTAAGTGCCTTCCCCCCGCGGCGGAGGGACCGCGGCCCGGGCTGGGGGCGGGCGGCGCCGGGCCGCGGCTGTCCCCGCTCTGTGCCCCGCCCGCGGCCCGCGGGGTCGGCGAGCAGGAGGCGGCGGGGCAGCGGCTGCCTCTGGGGCGGGCGCCTTTTCCCCGGAGAGCACGAGGGATCCCTCCCCTGCGAGGCCCTGCTCTCGCCCCGCCGAGGCAGAGTAGGTCCCACAGCTCAGCCGAGGCTCCAGGCGGCGGGAGGGGCTCGGCGGTGTCCCCCAGGCCGCCGATTTGCGTGCGGGGCCCGCCCAGCTCCCGTCCCGGGGCGGGGGAGCGGCGCTGCCGGGCCTGCGGCGCTCGGACGGGGCGGCCGTGGAAGCTCAGGGCCAGCGCGGGCACACGAGCCCTGTCCCGGCGGGTGTCACAGCCCGGTTTTGGGGGTTCTCACAGCCCTGCCCTGGGGGGGTGTCACAGCACTGCCCCGGGTAGTGCCAGCCCGGCCCCAGGCGTTGTCACTCCTGCGATAGGGTGTGACTGTAATTACCAGTTCTGACGGTACAATAAAGACCTGCAGAAGGGCTGCATATTACAGGTTCCTACAAATCTCGAAAGTTACTTGTCCAGCTCACGCTTTTTTTAGCAGTGGCCATAAAGCGTGTCATCTCTGAGGGGTGGCCATAGGTTCCTCGTGGCTCTGTGGCAGCGTTTGGCTCCTGTGCAGCCCCAGCGTGAGTCAGAGCTGTGTGCTGAGCTCTCGGCTCAGAGACCTGAGCGATGTTTCATAACCTTGCTGCTGCTTCCATAAAAGTACAAATACGATGTGCAGTCCTCCCAGGCTCCTCACGGTTTGGGAGGAACTGAGAGCCGAAGGGTTTTTATCCTGTGGTTGCAGAAATGGGTGCAGTAAATGGGTGTTAGTGTTTGTATGTAACTGGGGCTGGGGCCTGCCAGCTTATGAATCCATTAGAATTTTTTTGTATTGCTAGTGGCATAAGGAACATATCCCAGGTTCCCAGTGATCTGATGTGTCTGGCATAGATAGCATAAGGAGGGAAGCACTTGAAAGCAGCGTAAGAGAGTTTTGGAAAGACTGTGGTAATGTCTGCAGTGTGCCAGATTTGAAACAATGGGAAAGATTGGGTTGTTTAAATTTATTTTGCCCCGACGTCATGCTTTATTAAAAGATTTACCTAGTTCTATGCCTGAATTAAAATTGACATGATACATCCTGTGCTCAATTCCTTTCTTCTTCTCCAAGTTAACTCTTATCTTGTTGAAACTGTTTAATGTGTGTTGAAGTATCAGTGAACAGTCTAGTCCTTAAATGCTATATAGTTAAACTGATTAGAGTCTTGAATTTGCTTGTACGTATTTATTTGAATCTGTAATATACCATTAAAAGTGATCTTTCCTGTTATTCATTAATAAAAAGGAAAGAGGAGGATAACAGGATAAATGCACAGTTCCCTTGGATCACAGTAGTTTGTATGCAGTTTTTTCTGCCCACAGAGCTATTCAGCAACCAAAATACTAAGCTGTTTTTTGTTTTGTTTTGGGTTTATTTTTATAACCTTATCGTAGCTTGTTATTTTTAGCACTAGTTTATCTTTTTAGAAGCTGTTTTTATGCAAAGCAAAATATATGTATTTTGGGGATGAGTGCATATTTTTTTCTGCTTCAGGAGCAAGATGAATTGGATTCTTTCAAGCTTACAGTTTGTCAAAAGTCAGAAAAGAAAAGGAAGGAAAAAAGCTTATGACAATTATATTATACGTTTTAAATATTTTTTTGTAATGATCTAATGCTCTTAGCATTTAATTACAAAATATTCTTGGGTAATGATAACTGGAGGATCAGAAGAAAACCAGCACTATTTTAGAGTTCAAATGTTTTTAGCTTTTGGGCAGGCTGTTAAAGAAGTATATTGTGGAGTTACTAAAATTTTGTAATTAAAATATATTTCCAAGCATTTAATGAAGGAAAAACTGGTTTCCTATGTTTCCTATGTGTCATCTGGGAAAATATCAGAACTAGTAATGACAGTGACAGCATATTGTAAGATATTTCTGACTTTCTCACATGGAACCTTAGATACATGTAGTGACTCTCATACATGCCTGTTCTTGATGTACAGGCCCAAGGATTGTGTTGTGTTAGATGGAAAGAGTGTTCTTCATTGGCGACTTGAGCTGTTTCGAAGATTTGTATGTGCGGAGGTAATACATTATTTATAGAAGTGGTTTAATGCTTGAAGTGTCTATGAAACTGGTGATGGTTTTATGTATTTATTTGCACCTAATGAGGCAGTGTTGTCAGGTCAAAGTGAAATGGCCAAATGTTGAACATAGAGCTTTGATCTGAAGTTAACTGAAAATATTACTGCAGTTACAATTATAGAAACTTAAAAGTTTTAGAAGTACATAGTAAAATCAGAAATGTGTGAACTTTATCAGTTATTTTAGCAATGTTTATTCAAATATTTATTATTACAATTTCTAATATGAAGTACTGTAATGTACTCAGAGGATTTACTGTTGTATTGAATGTACATATGTTTTAGTAGAATTCTTGTTTATATACCACTTTCTAAGATGTTTTCTGTTTTATTTAATATGATTTTCTGTCCTTTGCTATACACATTTCCTGAGATACTGGAACTATCTGTTGTTGTTTTCCTTTTTTATTTCCTTGAAATAGGAATTAAGATGGATGAAGTGTTTCATTGGCTGTAGGAGCAGCAGGATGCATAAGGTGGGTATGTTGAAAGATTACAGTTAATGTCCTTTTAGAGAACTTCAGTTTTTGATTCTGTGTCTATCGGAACACAAAGGTGGTTTTTGTCTTTGTGCTTGAATTGCCATTTGTTTGTTAATTTTAAATTCTTTAGCATCACTGAGGGTGTACTCCACTGCGTTTGTCCTCCAATGAAACTTGTTTTCAAAATTTCCGTATTAGTGGTTCAGCAGCAAGAAAAGATGTTTTGATCCTCATCTGCAATCAAGACATTGTCTTTATTTGCTTAGACTTAGTGCTTCATGTTGTCATTATAATTTGCTTAAAAGATCCAGAACATGCTTTTACTTAAAAAGATTTTTTAAACAAAAATTTAAAATGTGAACATATATTTTTACAGGACAAACATTGGCAAATAAAGAACAGTGATGCTTGAGTAATAGTTGAGCCCTTTCTCATGAAGTTTATTTACATATTCTTGTTATCAAAGTTGAATGAATTGCAGACTTTTTCACAATGTAACCATTAAAAAATAATACATAATATAGATTTTTTTTTTAATTTTAGAAATAAAAAATTGTGGGTTCTTTTATTTCATTCTTTCTTTTGCCAGTGAAATAAAGAGATTCTTACTGTCAGCTTAAAATGGCATTTGGAGAATGCTGTAGTCTTTATATTGTTTTTGCTTTGTATTACTGTTGGTCTTGTCACCTTTCATGAAAACACAGAACAGCTGGGTAGAAACCATGCTATTCTTCGTGTGATATTTCCTAATTAAACGTGTCTTTGACTTACTATGTTATAATACTGTATTTGCAGGTTTGAGTTGGTCCTTTATAAGCTGATTAAACATAGTGTAAGTAATAGTCAAGCATTACTTTTTTTAAAGGACTGATTTAATGGGTATTTATAGCGTAATTAAATGTTGTAGGAAGTGTTATCATGGTTTGTGTAGCAATATGTTGTAATCTGATAATTCTTCCTAATTAATATCAAGAATGTAATCAAAACACCATAAACCTAACTGTGGTAGAACTGTACTGTGTATTGAACAAGTGAATGAAAGTGCATAAATTAAGGAGAGACTATCCTTGGTTTGTCACTTGAGTCTTTTACCATTTTAGGAAAGAGTCCTTTCCTCACTAAAAGGCAAATTATTCCCTTTGTTGTTGTTTTTTCTTCCATCTTTTTGAAGGCCATGCAGTAATGAAAGCCTTGCCTGAAGAGAGACTGGCTGGTGTCCTGATACCAACAAGCTTAAGCAATCATAGAACTAGAACTGTATCTAGAACTGTTGTACAAGTGGAAAGGAAAGAATGTAATAAGTAGCTCCGTGCATCTTTCAGAATTGTGATGCCTTGTGGTCACTTTGTTTGTGGATAATTTTTTTTTTTTTTCCTGCAGAGTGCTGAGGGGTTTTTTTTGTGGGATCATATAAAGATTAAAGTGACTTTTAGAGGCTGATATAAGATATTAATTCGTGCATATGTGTAGTGTTGTTTCAGTCTGTGGCATAGCTCTTCATTGTTTTTCAGAAAATCTAAGCCCGGGATTGTTGGTTTAGAAAAAATATCATGTTTAATGCCAAGAAGTCATGTGATGAGGTGAGCTTTAAAGCAGCACTGTCTCAGCCTTGCTGAAGAGCCTCTGTCACAGCAAGTCACTGGGGAGGCGGGAGTGTTCTTTGGCTCACTTGGGTATTTGCCAGGAGGAGCAGGTGCAAAAGAGATGGAAAAAACAGCTTGGGAAATTTGTTTGATAGGTAAGGGAGTTGTGAGGGAAAGAAACTACTTCTGCCAGACTTACTGGGAGAATTTTTGCTCTTTGGTTGAGTTTGGGTTGCAGATCAGTCAGAGCAATGTGTCCCTACTCAGTATTCCTCATGAAGCACTATGGTACCAGTAAATGAACATTGAAATGTCTGTAGGAAGTATTTAATGTGACTCAAATGTATTGTAATATTAATGTGACTCAAAAGCAGAAACCAAACAACAACAACAAAAAAAAAAAACCTTAAAGGTGTGTTTTTTACTTTTCAATGCATTATTCAACTGTTGTAAGGGACAATTGCAAGGGGCTCTATCTGTTCTTCGAAGGATCTTTCCTGAAGGCCAACTCTCTGAAAATATCACAGTGACAAATTACAGCTTAGACCGTTGTAATTTTTGTTGTGCCTGTGCTTCTTTGCCACTTTGCTTTTCTTATAGATATATTTATGGTTATTTTGGATGAACCATAGAAAATAAGGATATTTGTGTTACTCATTTTTGTAGTTTTGAGCACGCTTCGGTCTTCTGTTGAATGATGCAGAACTTAATTTTGGTGGGTTTTTTGACCATCCTTGACTGGTTAGCCTCCCTAAGTGAGGTTATAGTCTGCCAATTGTTTGTGAGTACATGTAATCTCAGATTTATATCAGTCCCCCATCTCAAAGAAGTAGTGCTACATACACCAAAATATGAGCTGCTGACAATTCCTGCTTTTGGTCAACTCAATACAGGTGGAGCTGCTGGTGAAGAAATAAGGTAGATCCATGATTTTAGGAAGCAAGGCTGTAAAGTTGAAATATCCAACTTCAACTTCTAATTATATACATTGTCCTAAAGGTAAAACTATATGAACCCCCAAGATACTGTAAGAGAATCAGAAATGATCAGTCTGTGGAAACCTGCATAGTTCTGTGTGTAAGCATGACCAGGGTATGATGAATCAAGAACTAAGAAGTTACTGGCCTGCTAGTAAAATGTCCTAAATTAATAATATGGATGTTCAAGGGGTTGTATTGCTTTTGTCATCAACAGATTTTAAGGCTTTACTGAAGAAGGAACGTAAATTGGTATTGGATTTAGAAAGAAGGAACTGTTCTGTATTACAAGACTCAAACGGAGACCACCCAAATGCTTTCAGCTGCTTTTTGTTATTTTCACAAATAGTTTGTTCTTTTAGCAGAGTGTTTAAGAACAGAGAGTTGAATCAATCGCTCTACTATGTTTTTCCCTAAATGGCAATATTAAGTAAACTTTGCAATGCTGTTTGGCATCAAGAAAAAAAGTCTTAGGCTTTAGATTCTCTTGGTTTTTTTAGCTTCCAGAGAAAAGTAATTTCCAGAGAAAAGAAATAGGCTGTTGTGATTTCAAATCTTTCTATGCACCATGTTCTTGGAAACCTCTTTCTGGTTTTGGCTGGATATGTACATCCTAAGGGCCAATATAGTATCTGTTACATTTTATGGTACTTTAGTAAGTTGATTCAGAGATGTTATGTGATTTCTGTAGTTCTGGTAGAGTAAGCAGGATGCAGAATGTTCTTGTCTTCCATATATTGTGAGTTATCTTTTTTACAGTCTTAATTTTTCAAAGGGCGGGTCTGCTGTATTACTTTACTAACTTGCTCTTGTGCCAGACGTATTTGGTGCCTCATTGAATGCCTAAAGCTGAAAAGTCATGGTTAGTTACCTTTGCTTAGTGTGTGTTTATGTTCTCCTGTAAACCAGTGATTTTCTTTTTGGGAAGGTATATGTTTATGAGTGGCATATGACAATGATTTGCAGACTTTAATGGGCAAGATACAAAGAAGAAATTAAGCTGAAGAACAAAAAAGCAAAGACTGCCTGGCCCCAAATGATGTCTTGACTTTGTTTTTATAAAGAGAAATAGAGAAAAAAAATTGTTTACCCTTTGAAAGGCAGTGAATAGGGAGAAGGATAACACAAGTACACAGAATGATGAATGGTTTGAAAGAAGTAATTCAAAAGCTCTTGTTTTGTTGGCTCATGTTATAAGAGTAAGGGGACATTCTGTGAAATTAGGGTGCAAACTGAGAAAGACACTTGAGAAAGGATATATTTCTTAATAAATTGATAAGACAGTGAGTTCTGCGGTCTAGGGATAATTTTAATTTAGGAAAATTGTAAAAGAAATTGGATAAATTAGAGTGCAAGAATATTTACACAGGCTCAGATTACCTTTTCTCGTGAAAGAATATAATCCCTCATCTTTTTCTTAGTTGCAAGATTATTTCTATCATGATTTTTAATAAAGCTTATCTAAAAACTATATATTGATGGTGGGAATAAAGGAATTAAGTCTATCCCTAGTTTGTTTATGGGAGAAAAGGTTATGGTGTCTCACTAATTTGTTTTCTCTCTTTCCCTGTGTTAGGTTATATCCAGGTGAGATACCCACTAGGAACTATGTCTAGTTCCCTCGGTAATATCCACTGATTTACTTTGTTTTTGTGGTAGATGGGGGCATTGAAGAAGAGGTTTTGGGGATTAACATCAGGATCCTTGTTAACTTGGAAAGAACTTATATAGGGCAGCTGCTTTTGTGACTTGCCACTAGTGAGACACTGTTCTGTTCAGCTTTCATTTTTCTGTTCAGCTTTCATTTTTCTGTTGCCTGGGCTCACGCATTAGGTAGGTGTTCCTGCAGTCATTTAATCCAAATCAGTACACAAGTTTGCTCTGTACCTAGAGTGATGGAATATTTAGGGAGGGTGAGATGAGCTAACGCTGGCCTTCTGTGTCACCCAGCCAACTCCCAGCAAGTATGTAAAAAGTCATAAAAATAGCAGTGGGGGTATCTTAATTAAATGAGCATGCTTGTCGCTCTGCCAACCTTTTCTCTTGGCATGGTTCAGGTCCTAGAAACTGTTTGCTTTCAGTCTCTATCAAACTCAATTATAAAACTCTGTGATAAAAACATCAAAAGCAGTGTTCAGCAGGAAAAGACTACAGAATCAGCTTTTGCACATTCCCACTGAAATGTCCTTTTCTCTCCATTTAATGGAGGCTGCAGTTTTTACTTTTGGTGTGTTTAGCAGCAGATTGACTTAAATTTGTTGTATTTGGCTCTAGAGTAGCAAAGAGCAGATGTCAGGGAGGTGCCGTGACAGGAATAAAAAAGTTCAGAAGGCTTGTGGGAATTTGGGGGTGAGGGGGAAGTCTTCTTCCTAGTTTTTCCATGCTAGAATCCATATTATAACATTTAGAGCTGGCATTCAGTTCAAAACTTGCTGTACTGTAAGGGTTGCTGCACTGACGCAGACATTCTTTCCCACAGTTCAAATTATGGAAACAGAGTTTATTTATAAAATAAAATATGCCTGTGAAATTATAATTGATACCTTAATTATGGAGAACTTGCTTGAAAGATGGTAACTTAGCGAGCTGTGGGACATTTTCCTGGCTTAGAATAGCCACGATTTACACCGGAACGTTTTCTCTGTATGAATCTTAGAAATGGAATTCCCATGTCAGGGCAGAAAAACTTCAGTAACTGAGAGGTACTCTGTCAGGGATGATAAGCCTAAAATAATGGTCAACTTTTAAACATTATTTAGGCTTGGAACATCTCAAAAGTAAGCTGTGCTGTTTGGGGATTGTCACTATTTGAAAAATATACATTTAAGAGCCACCACTACATTATGCCAGTCTTTACGTAAGCAGGTGGGTGCCAGATGTATGTGGGATCCTGGCGAAATTTGTTACTTTGGATTATTTCTTTTCACTTTTGTAATGAGCAGAATGCTCCAAAAGTCAGTGGAGCCTTTTTTATTTTTATTTTTAAATCTTATCTTTGCTTTGATTAAGGGGCCATTTCTGAAACACCTGGTGTAGTTTGTTAGTTAGTAGAATGATTATCTTTCTGACATCTTCTTTTTCATTCATCATCTACTTGCACTACCAGAGTATATGTTGCCACAGTATAGTTTATAGAAATGTAAATATTTTGTAATTTACATCATATTTACATTTATGTAATTTTGATTGCATGTTGCTGTATTTGAAAATTGTACCGGTTATCATTTTCTGGGGAGATGGGATTTGAAACAGAGGGAATGTATGCTACTGTG